GCGTTTGCCTATATTTCCTTCAATAAATTTGACTTGACTTGACTTGACATTTCTCGAGAAGTCCACCGAACAGCTTGCGAAAAGCGTTCTGGAAAATTCTGGTCAACTACGTGCCATATATTAAGTAATCGCTTCCCTCACTCTAATGCTCGCGTGGAAACTTTTCGATTGCGTGAAGCGCGCTCATGATTTTAACTCGACAATAACTCGATGCGTACGCTTATTGGCTGTCGGGTTGCCCGCAAGCTGGTCTGGGCTGTTGAATACCTTGTTTTCATGTAGTGTTTGCCTTCGGCAGCAAGTGAATTAGGGTTCCCGTCTCCACATCAACGTCCGCTTTTGTCCTTTTGTAAGTGACTGCGACCAAGCATTTACTCACCTGTTAATCGGCTGATAACGTATAATCAGGTAAATTAATTACTTTCATTACAAATTGCTCTTGGGAATGGCTATTCGGAGAAAAGAATCGGTAATTTACCGACAGAGGGTGAAGAAGGCCTGAGCATAGGACGTCTTTTTCGTTCGAATGTCCATAAGGATCTGCTCGGGCGAGTCAGGCTTGACATTTTCGAAGTTCATTTTGCTCAAATCCTTGGTACAAAGCCAAAGGAATATAGCTCTCACACGCTCCATCTCCGAGGTGATGTTCCGCGCGTAGATGAGTTGCCAGATGAGTTGAATGAAGCTCTTTTGTTGCAGTTGCGACACCGACACTGCATGTTCGTCGACTTGCTTCAAGGTCTGCGGATAGGAGGAGGAGGAGGGTGAGGTGACATAGTATTTCCACACGGTATCTCGCAAAGGTTGATGGAGTTGGACCCAAATATATACATCACCTTTCAGTCTATGCCTATAGACCCTAACTAAACTGATGTAAAGCGATAGCAGAAATTAATTAAAAAGCTGAACTTTTGGAAATTTCTAAACAGGGAAAGGTAGGAGACCCATTGATGAGTCAGATCTTTTGTAGTTGTGTCAAACAGCGGCAGAATACCGGTGAAACACGTGTCTGGGCATTTTAGCTAGTAGCTGGGCTGTTATTTTTTTAAATGACAACATCAGTACTATTATTATTATCATTTTCTTCTTTTCCTTCTTCTGTATCACAGACGCTTAATTTAACGCGCAATGTAGTCACCTTTAGTTGTTTTTTCAAGGTTTATATAAAATAAGTTCTTTGTTAAGGGTTGACAAGGTAAGTCACCAGAGCAACCAGAAACTCCGGATAGCGTTGTGCGTGTTCATAGTAAGAATTTATGCTTTCGATAAGCTATCCCTACAATTTTTTTGTTTACTGACGGCTTTGGGCTCAGCTGTCTGACGATGCGTTGCTGCGTGCTCACATGTACTACAACTGTCTTGTAATTTTTGGTGGAAAAGTGTACGGTGTAGATGAATGTAGGAGGATGGCTGTTTAAGAAAGCCACCACGTTGACAAAAGGTCAAATTCCTTTCCACAAAAGCGAAAATGTCAGTCCGCTGCCCCCTTCTCCGGCTCCCCTACCTTAGCTGACGATTTGGCAACTGCGCTACAGGCTCCATTACCACCTCAGACTTGGCCTGATCTTAGATCTGGCTGCGCTCAGACCAAGCTGCACGTCGGCCGGCCTTGTTC